TGTTACTGTATATTATTACCTTGCTACCTGCTGGGGTTGTTATAAGGAAGAAAGCTATTGCAGCTAATTTTGCTCTGGTAGATAATGGGAATTTTTCAATTCTCCCTTGGAAGTTGATTTCTGGCATTTGTGGAATGTGCCATCCAAATTCCATTCTTTTGTCTTTACTGGGGAATTCGTCCATGTATACAGTTATTGTTTTGAGATTCCCAATTTTGTGTCTGATCATTGCTAGTTGTTCAATTATGTTTGGTGATAAGTTTATAATTTTTTGAATTATTTGTTTGTTGATATGAAATGCGTTTTGAGTTATTTGTAGTAATTCAGGGAGGTTGTGATGTGGAAATGCTGTGTTAAGCATCGTTTGGAGACTTGTGGTATGATGTGGCTTCTGTGTACTGTTGTTTCATTTATTTTGTATTTAGAACTCTTTCTGCTCTTGTGTACTGGGATGTTTATTAGGCTGCAGATGTCTCTTGTAAATATGCATTCTTTTGGTTTTTCTTGTGTGTCTATGGCGCATCCATGACATTCTTGTAGTGGGGACTGTTCATTAATTCTTGTGTAGTGTTGTAGCTTGGCTGTATTACCTATTATTGCTTTTTTCCTTCCAATTACATTATGTTTGTTTGTTTTGTTTACTACCTACTTGATCTTGTTACTTGGTGTTTCTATTGCGAGTTGTATGTTTGGATGGTTGAAGGTTTGACTTGTTGCTCTTTGTTTGATTAGTTCATAAATTCTGGAGTTGTTCTGCAGTTCTTTGTATCATATGAGTTTTTTCCGGTTTGGTTTCTTGTTAGGGTAAGTGATTTCTACCTATGCAGCTAGTCTTGTACCTGCAAAGTTAGTGATTTGGTTGAGGAACATTATCTGATTTTTTGCTAGTTGTTTTCTGTGTTTGTTATACCAGGTTGTTTCTACGATTTTCTCAATTGTTGTATCGGTCTTTTGGATAATTTCAATTGCATTTATGGTTCCTGTGAAACCTTGTTGTCTTAGTAGAAATATTTTGTCATGTGTCAGGTCTTTTCCTAGGAGTGTGATTGGCGTTTTGAAGTTGATACTTGTGATTGCATCTGTTGACCAGTAGATGTTTTGTGCTTCCTGTAGTCTCATGTTTGTTATCTGTCTTATAATGTCATTTCTGTTGATCATTTTTTGCCAGTTGTTTGCATATAAGAAGATTTGTCTGTCCCAGATATGAAAGAAACCGTATTCTAAGGGATTGTAAAGAATTGTGTTGGAAGCTGTTTGGGAGATATTCAGTTTGTGCTTGTATGTTTTGTTGAGGTGACTCATTATGTTATCGCAAATTTTTTCTGAGAGAATGAGGTCTAATAGTAGATACATTATTGATAGTATCCAAACTTGGTTGTGAAGATATCTTAACTGTTTATCTGTAGTAGTTTTCCATTTAATAGTGTTTGCGAACTTGGTGATTATGAAACATATTAGCCACCATTGGATCAACTGGAACACAATTTATATCTTTAAAACAAGATTTTTATGGAACAGATAAAGTCTTGACAAATTAGTCAAGTATATATTAGTACTTAGCAATAAGCTGCATAGTAGAATTTTTCTTAGTGAGTTTAATTAGGTAGATAGAGTAATAAAGTTGTATAAAATAAATTTGTATATACTTATCAAAAAATATCTAATAAACAAGGTGTAAGCACTCGTTAAAAAAAAATTATTCACAAGTGAAATATATTTTTAACATTAGCTTGAAAAAAAAATTCTATGACAAAATTTGAAAAAATAGTACCATATTAAGTGAATGGCTCAAAATTTAGATTAGAACTATTGTTTTTTTATTGTAATTTTAGAAATCAATTGGCTTTTATTAATAAAGCAATAAGTTTTTACTAGAGTATGATTTATTTAGAAAGGATAACTATGACATTCCCAGGAAATGTTTGTTGCATCTTGAAGATATTATATCTATTAATATTACCAAATATTCAAGTAATTTTTAGTCACAAATACAACAATAAATATTTTTAGATTTAAAAAAATAAAAATATCAATTTATAAGATTCAATTCATAAGAAATAAAGTTGGCAATAAATTTATTTATTAATAGTGATTAACTGGATGAATAAAGTTAATTTTGTTTACAATTGTATATTTAAAAAGTACTTTGATAGTTATGATTTATCCAATATATATTATTTAAAAAAGATTATTTCTTTAATATAATCTAATAAATGTATAATATATAACAATATCTACTTTACTATCCAATTATTATTACATTGTTATATAATTAAAATTATATTATTTGTTTAATTATTATTATAAGACAATTTCACAAATAAATTGATATGTAATTACAATCAAATCATTATGATTTTATAGTGATTTGATAAAAACTTAGAAAAGAATTTAAAATTTTTAATTGCTACTTAATTAGAGAGATTTGATAGAAAAATAGTTACTGTTGCTATAATTTAATTGAAGCAATTTTTTTACAAATATCATGACTGTTTGGTGGCAGCTTTATAATAATTTGATAAAGTTTCAATAGTAGAATAGTCGAAAAATGACCACTTTTAGTTAAAAACTCAGAATAAGAGATTTTTGTTGATTTTGAATCCAATTGTTTGGGATTTTGAAGAATTAGTAGTATTAATATGTTTTGATTATATATTTTTAAGTAGTTTTTTATTTGTTATTAAAAAATTAATATTGGCTTTTTTATTTATAATATTGTAGTCATTTGAAAGAGTGTAATAGTGTAATGGAAAGTCAGTTGCTAACTCTAGTAGAGATTTGCATAACTGTTACTGAATAAATAAATGAAAGAGTGATTTTAGACATGTTTGTATTTAATCAAGTCTTTATTAATTTTTTCACTTGTTAATTGTATCTCACCATTTATACTTTATATTTCTTTATACTTAACATTTGACTATGGCAGCTTAGACATAATAATAATTAATGATACAATAACATGGCCAAAGCTAAATTATATGATTCTTTTCACAATCTTTCCTATCCTTCCTTTATTACCTAATTATCACAACTGACTTACTATTGTCATATTGATCAGTCATATAACTAATATTATATTTTATTTCTTCCTGTTACAAGAAATAGATTAATTGATATTGTTTGGAAATTTGTATTTGTATTTTGGTTTATGATATTGACATTTTTTTGATAAAAAAGTTTGAAAAATATATTTTTTAAGAGATTATTAAGAAGGTATAAAATGTTAGCTAAGTTTGTAACTGTTAAAGACTTTATCTGATAATGAAATAAGTTTTTTTTAATATAAAAGAAGTTATTTAATAATAGTTTACACAAGTGGATCTTGTGAAAGAATATGGTTAGTTCTTGTATTATCTTTAAAATTAAAGAAAAAAAAACTTTAATATTTGGGTTTCAACAAGTAATAGATTGATGGAAGTTATTTTTTTAATGCTGGTAGTTTAAAATAACAGCTAGAAAGATTGGAAAGAACTTAATAGTCTTTATGAAAATAGATTTTCAAGTCAGGTAGACTGTTTAGTTTATTGTGTTTTTTAATTGAAAAGATTTTTCTATATTTTGACAGAAGATCATAAGGATTTTCAAATAATAGAGGGTTGATTTTGAAAAAGTTGTTTAGAAGTTTTTGAAATTTATAATAGGATCTTATTATTATAAAGCTGAAATACTGTAAGTTGTAATTTGTTTTGTATTGGCAAGTTGCATAAAGGTTTGATTTTGATATTAGATAAGATTTTATTTAGTGAAGATAGAAGTTTTGGAAGTAGTTCATTTATAGATTTCTTGAGTTTTTCTTTAAGACTAGTATAGTTGATAAAGAATTTTAGTTTTCTGATAAAGTAGTTTATGAGATATGTGAGAAGATTGGTTAGTTTGTAGAAAGACATATTGTCAATATTAATAGTTCTGAAATAGATGATTAATAAAATGATACAAACAATTACTTAGATTTTCTTTTTTGTTTCTAAGTTAATAAGGTTGAGATTGCATTTTTTTTTGTATTTTTCTTATATTAAAATTTAATTTTACCATATGCATGTTTTAAATTATAATATTAAATTTACTTTATCAAACATGCTGATTTTTTTCTGATCCAATTAACTTTATTATACCTGTTAAACTCAATTTTTTTGTTTTTTTCTTTTCTATCTAAATCTTTTGTATTTAAATTATTTGGTTAGTTTTAGAATTAATAAATTTGTTGAAGATAATAAACCATAAAAATAATGATATTCTATATTTTAACCAACTTATGATTCTTGATAATTTTTTAGGTTTTCTTTTCAGTATTGAATTACTTCCATCTAATTTAAATGACCAGTTAACTTTACTACTATCCAAGTGTAGTTGATTTATATTTTGTGAGTCATTGGGCTTCATAAATGATTCATTTGTTTGTTTTGATCTGAAACTTCATAATAATAGCTAGGTAAATGCAAAGTGGTTAATTTTTCCACAATCGCAGTACATTGTTTCATTTTCTCAGTTTTGTTAATTTTGATCTCTGGCATAAACTTTGATATTTTGACTATAAAATGTGTTTTTATTAATGAATGGTTTGTATAAAGATGGTTTCTTCTTTTTTGTTGGTGCTTTTTCTTGTAACCCCTGTCCTTATGAAAAAAACTGCTTCTTCTCTATCATTGTATTTTTCTTTTTCTTTTCTGCTGCTATCTATCGAGTTTTATTTATTATCTCAACATTATCCTCAAAATTATTATATTTTGATTGGAGAAGTTCGACCAATACACCCCATCCGTATTTATTTGCTACTCTTAAAATTGTTATTTAATCCTTTGCTCTTTTTTGAGGAAACTAATTCAATATAGGAACAAGCTTCCCCCACTGAGTTTGCACTTAATGTCAGATTCAGATCTTTCACAATTGATCTTAATGTATTTTAATTATATACAGTAGGTCTCTTGTTTTCTCAAAATATCCCTCTGGTCACGCATTTTAATTTTTGTTTTACAAACGTCTCATTCATTTTACTATTTACATCACTTATTTTCCTTAATTTCTACAAATAGGCTCTGCATTATTAAGCTATCTGGTTGCGACACTTTTCTTTTCTTATGATCTGTTTGTTTGGTATCACTCTGATAAGGTGAGCCGTCTGATGTTGATGGTGATTTCGTTCTTTTCTGGTATTCCTTGTCGCACGATCACCTTCCATCCCTACCTGTATCATTGAATCTTAGTCGGAACCATTTTGATCTTGCTGTAATAAGTTATATTCGGATCCCTCTTAAAGCCCATGCATCTTCTGTTCTGCTATAGATTGGCTTTACTCCGTGATTTTTAAACCCAACTGGGCTGCAAGAGCTCTTAGAGTACTGTATTGATTGACATTTGCATACTGTAAGAGGTGATTTAAAAGATCTAGCATGGACAATACATATCTTCCTGTAACAATAATGATTAATCAATGACGCGACGAACAATTAGAGACATTATATAATTTACAATCGCTTGTTCTATCGATTTTGATCTTCTTTTACTTTCTAAAAGCTTCTATTAATATATCTAAAATCATGTAGAAAATGAGTAGAAAAGTATCTAATAAAGATAGAGAATTCGGTCAAGTCATATTCGCCTCTCTTGAGTTTTAATTGTTAAACTAAAGGGACGGTTATGCGAATTCTGTTCCTGGTTAGCGACAGACTCGCCGATAGTCTGTCACAATACGTTTGACTTCTTTCTGCTTAAGTGCTAAATCCTCACTTAGTTTCATAGGTGTTTTTCTTAAATACTGTCACTGAACTCGAATAAGACGGAAAATAAATATTTTAGGGCTACAACAGAAAAAGCACAATCATGATTATAATAACACGCCATTTTTAATATTGTTTACTTAGGGCATTACGCAATCCAATGTGTTACATGATCTCTCGCGATAATATAGCTATATGTAACAATATTTAAGGGAACCGGAATATCCTTGCACATAAAAAAAAAGGATCCCCAGAGCATGCATTCACACGTCGTACAATAAATGCACAACCAATTTCATATCACGTATGTCAAATATTGCATTATGTTCCTGCAGCATTGTTTTTTGTTTCGCCACACTAGCTATTTTAATACTTTTCACCATTGCCTTATACAGTATTCCTTTGTATTTAAAAGCTAAAACAACTGTATAAACAAATTATGTTGTTTAAGTAATTCTGTTGAGCAGAACAGAACTTACAAATTTATTTTCTTAGGGTCTAAAAATACAGTAATATATTCCCTTTGAAAATCACTGATTATGAACTCTTAAAAATCCATGTAGTTACTATTTTTTACATTATCAAGACAGAATAGTAAATAATTGATCAACGAAGTAAATTAGGGATTTTGCCAAATGCGATACAGTAACATTGAATAAATCAAGGCAGTTGTTTTAAATTACATATAATTGTTCAACAAGTGATTAATAATATTTGAGAATTTATCTATTATAAGCAGTGGATGTATTTGAAGTTGCACTGTCCAGTAAATTGTGATACGACATTAAGTGCACAGATAAACAAAAACCTATAGAAATGGAAAGCTAATATTTTTTTAACCGACACTTATCTTTTCGATACTTCTCACATGTCTCAATTATACAGCCGAGTATTACTTCTAACTTCTCTTCTTGTTGGTTTACTGGCATTGATAGCAAATGGAGGTATACATTGAGTGTCTCTATACTTTTTTATCTACAATGTAAAACAATCAAATAGACATAGATGCTTTGTCTCCAAGTAATAATCAATACCTTTACTCTTTGCCATATTTCTCTGACTACCTAAAATATACTGTAGTCACCTTCACTGCCACCGTTATTGGCCCTGGTACCACTTTCACAACAACTGGTTCATTTACTGGTACTGAAACTCCCACTATTCCTCCGGGATTCACAGTATATGTTGATGGTCAAACGCTCACTGCTGATGGAAGTCCTACTAGTCTTCGAACTAGCATAGCATCTAGTAGTGCTTCAGGTACCTCCGTTTAGTGCTTCATGAACCTTAAAATTATTGCCTACTCGTTTAATTGTTATTATATATTAGCGTGTAAGCATTAATCCTCATTAACGGCCAACTCTTATTGAAAAATTTTAAATTTAATTTTACTGTATTTATGTTACATGGTGAGTATACAATTTTTTTTTTAACATGCATATAATATCAGCTAGTGTGTGAATATTTTACATTTATTGCTATATTTGATCTATATTTATCATTGCATTACAGATTGTGAAAAAGAATCTTAATTATTTATTGACTTTTTTGATACGCATTCTAAAAATAATTAGCAAGTAAGTACATGCTTCAAGCTACACTACTGATTTATTTATCAAGATTGTTTGTTATCAAATAACTTATTATACGATTTGTACAACCTGTTGTCTAATATTAGTTGGTAAGTAAATAATTTATGTTTCTATTTAAAATATTGTATAACAAACCTTTTATTAATGCAAAACCTATGTCTTATTCTCATATCCTAATTTTCCATCAAATAAAGCCAGTAAGTACATTATATTTTTGGCAAAATTTTTTAAATCGTAACAAACACCAATGCATTGCTTTAATTTATCTGTCCATACACTCTCAACATTTTTCATACTGTGGTGATATTTTTTTATTATATATCCATAAATTAGGCTGTGTGTATATCATCGACATTACAGTACTTTGTTCTGTTTGTCACTTCGATCACTAATGATTACTGTACATATAACATCCAATAAAAATAGCTGGTAAGCATAGAATAATAAATGTTCTGCTTGATATTTTTATCGCAATTTTAGCTTAAAGGTACTACATTTATTTGTTTAATAGGGCGTAAGTATACAATAACGTGGATTCAATTTATGATTAGTTGATATTAACATTGTTTATGATTATTCGAACTACATCATTAAAATTCTAGTTTGTAAGTAAATATTCATGTTCTATTATTGCAATCATTTCTAATTTTCCTCTGATACTAAGTGTGTACTTATCTACTATAACTAGCCTGTGTGTATAAGCTTTGCTATTTTTTACTCTATTGCTTTGAAATAACTACTCATAAATAACAACATAATGAATATTTTTCTCTGTTATAATCAGTTGGTGAGTATATTTATTTTATGACAAATAAACATTTTTATGTTTTTGAATATAATTTAATCTATTTTTAAAAAATTAACCAAATGCATAATACTTTTACCTTATTAGCTTGTAAGTATTCTGCTATTTGTAACTCAAATAAAAATTATGATATAACTAACCTTTTCTGTTTAATTTATTAGGCGGTATGAAAAATTTGAACTATTTGTATTTTTACAAATGTTCACAAACTTACAGTATATTCAATCATAATTTTTTCTTAGGATGTAAGTACAAGTATGGTATAATTGTTAAAAACACTATTTTATAATACCGCGAATTAAATTTTTTGTACTGTATTACTTTGATCGCATAATATAGACGGTATGTGTAAAAATGGATTCATTACACAATTAAGTCAATTATCTAATATATATTGTTGTAATTTTATAGCTAGTAAGTATAATGTCTTGATTATTGGACCTCTGTATTTTAATTACTAATGTATCTCATGTTTACATTCTTTCCAAAATGATAAATCATTCTCTTTATTGGTCACCAGTCGGTAGGCTATTCTCATCCTGATATTTTGATTAGTGTTCGTATATTTTTATAAATTATTTAAAATTAATATATTCATTTTATAATTAAAATTGCTAGGTTGTAAGTGAAAGATATTTACATTAGCACAATACGCATAATTGATTACTATCAATCCTTTATTTAAATTTATTCTTTTGCGTGCTTACACATTAGATAGTAAGTGGGTTTAGTTATTCCTTATTATTATTGGATTTCTTTTATTAACCTTTAATACGTTTGATACTTAATAATTTATAGCTAGTAAGTGAAAGTTTGATTTGGTTTTTTTTTTTATCTAGCCTACATTTAGCTTCTTTGAATTTGACGTGCATTCATTTATATTTAGGCAGTGAGTACAGTTTTTCATAATGATGGTTATTGCATTTTTATAAATTTCTCATATCATTATTTAAATCATTGCTAGATGGTAGGTTTCTTATTGCGTGTACATATTGTAATAATATTATTTCCTAATCGATATGATTAATTTTTAAAATATAGGATGTAAGTTAACATTCATTATGATAATTTTTTTCATAACATTATTTCGGTTTGCTTATTATGTATGTTACATTACCCATTAGGTTGTAAGCATTAAAAACAATGTATTATAAAAATACTATTATAATACATTGCTGACCTTAATTCCTTCATTTCCCGCTTTCCTTCAGCCTGTAAGTATAAATTTTAATATATAATATCGCCCAATATCTTAAATTAATAGACAATTTGCTTTATAAAATGTCAGACTGTAAGTATTTTGATAATAAGTTTGGTTAATTCTTGGCGTATTATGCTTATTATCTCATATTATTGTTTCCTGATAGTTTGTAAGTACTGGTTTGTTATACTTGTGATAGTCGCTTTTCTGCTGTTACATTTTCTTACATTCATTTTATAATAAGCTCGTGAGTAAGAACTTCTGCATGCGACATCTTTATGCATTACTAATATATATATATTGTATATTAAAAAAATTACAAGAATGTAAGATATGCCATTAAATTTACTGTTTTCTCATTATTATTACTTATCTGACATGCTATTTTACGTTTTCTGCTCAAAAATTAGATGGTGAGTGTTCTTGCATTGGATAATTTATCGCGTATCATTTTGTTAACATTGCATTTTTCCGAATTGGCAGACTGTAAGAACGACTTGATAATCTAAATCTTTGGATATCTGCAAGTTAGTATAGTAGATGCTATTGTACTATTCTGACATTACTGTAAATTGTACATTTACTTATCTATTTAACGTACATATTTTTATTGTCGCAGACTTTTTAAAAATACTAATTGTGATATGATAACCGTCAAACAATATTTATGATTCATCCTTTTTCCGTTAGACGGTATGTCTTTTATTTGATTTAAATTTGTTTTTTGCGTTACTATTTGTTATTTATCAAACTTGTTCTTTTTTTTTTTAACGGACACTTACAGTTAGTAAGTATATTCCTTTAGAAACAACATTTATTTTAATAAATCATTGCACGGAACCCACTTTTAAAATATATTACTGTGTTTCTTAGACAGTGAGTATTACGAATTAATTTAATACTTTAATTGATTTTTTTATAACTTAATGAGAATGCATTATGTAAATTTTTTAGGCTGTGAGTATGAAATGTTATGCAAACTGTGCTGTATATATTTTTTTAAATAAATTTATCCCGGAAACTATGTCAAAAACTCGATTTATTTTTTTCAGGTGGGTATAAAGTCAAGTCTATTTTTGATATTTTCACAGTACAAGTACTGAAACTTAAGGTTCTTTTATTTTTAGGCTGTAAGTATGATTTATATCTTAATAATTTTGTTCTGATTTTAAATGGCATACATAATTATATGTTATTTATTGGTATTTAACAGGTGGTATGAAATAAATATTTAATTTGTTAAGTTTATTTTCGCTAATACAAAAGATAATAAATTTGGTTTATTTTGATCTAGGAAGTAAGTATGAATTTGATGCTTTTTTAAACATTTTATTAAATAATATTAAATTAACTTTATCAATTCACTTCACAAATTTGTTCTGAATTTTATTTGATTATTAGCTTGTAAGTATAAAATAGTTTGCATGATAATTATCTATTAATAACCTCAATGCGTTATTTATTTATCCTCCATTAAATATTTTTATTAAATTTATTAGGCTGTGAGTATCAGTTGTTTTTACATTAAAACTCGTTATTTATTTTAACATATAACGTTATACATTTTGCTAATAATTTTAGGTATGTATAAAGGTACATTGTTTCATTTCGTAAAAAATTTACTAACATCAAGATTTTGTTCTATTAAATTTGCAGGGAGTAAGTATAGTAAAAATTTGTTATTTCCAACAAACGATTTTAAAGTTGTGCAATTTTATTAACATTTGTTTATAATAAATAAATTAGCCTGTAAGTACAAAAATTAGTTATACATAAGATTGCTAGTTCATATTTAATGAAATTTATTTATTCCATAAACACTAGGGGGTGAGTGTGATGTCATTTTTTATTGACGTTCCGATTTTCAATTTTATCTAATTCGCACTCTTAATACACACACATATTGTTGTTAGCCTGTGAGTAGAATTTCTAGCCTACGTTCTTTCCATCTCCTTTGCCTTTCTCTTTATTTATTTTGTAATATTTTCTCTTTAAATTTTTAGGTCGTAAGTATAAAATTTATATTTTATGCGAGACAACTGTTCATTATGAACTAACATGTGTCTATATTCTAGCAAGTGAGTAAACTTTTCCATTTTATCTTCTAAATAAACATTTTGATTTTATATTGATTTATTTTTATTTTTTAAACACATTAGCGAGTATGTACAAAGTCTTTATTTTTTTTTCCGACTATAATAATAGCGCTATTATATTTACCTGTATGTTCATAAAAACTTAGATGGTTTGTATTAATATAATAGCCTTTTTATTGTCAATTTTTTGAATATAACTTACCGCATTCTATTTTATTATAAGTTCGTGAGTACACACTGTATATCTTTTTAAATGAAATTATTTGACAAATTTAATTAATTGTATGTTTATTTCGACATAATTACATTCAATCAATTTATCTTATAAAACAATAATAAGTCGGTAAGTACAATTTTCATACTTTGACTTGTAATTTTTACAAATGATTAATGAAAAATTGTTTTTTTAATTAAACTAGACTGTAAGTAAAGGTTATCATGAATTCTTATTATTTATTCTTATTTAACCAACTTTGCGTTTTATGGATATACTGTAAATGATTTTAGTCGGTAAATACTAAACCTAATGTATTTTATTCGATTTTTTTTCCAATGCATTTTTCTATTTAACTTTTTTTTT